GAGGGAGAGAAGGGGAGGGGCTTAAACCAACTAAAGTACATGCCCTCGTAAAAATGTCCCAAAATTTCCCTTGCGTTGTCCAGTAACAGAAGCAAATCATTTTACAGTCTTAACACTATCCACTCTGTCTATAATTAATTATAATCAGTTTCTGAAAATGCCCATGTGTGCAAGTGTTCAAAAAAGCCAACAAGAAACAAACAGAAAACAAAAAGTAATGAAAAAAATAAACAAACAAATAAACCAAACTGACAAGCAAAAACGAAAAGCACCCTCGCGAAAAATCGTCTCTTAGAGATGCCAACAGAGTACCAAGAAAAAAACAGCCAACTCGTCAACGAGGCTGTCACCTGATCATTCAACACAAGGGAAGAACCATTGCTTCATCTATCTATTAAACCACTTGTATGTAAAGGTGCTCGATCTTGCCATTACCAAACGAGTGGTAGTTTAATAACAGTTCTTTGAAAATTAGCAAAAGTCCCTCACTACTTTCTTTCTCTTGCAAAGTTTCAAGTATCAGCAACATAAGTCCAAGCGGACAAAATAAGTTTTACCAACCTGTGGCCTTTCGCTAAAACATTTATTCTTAGAGCAAACAGCATCCGTGTGTGCTTTGTTGATAGGGGTCTGCCTACACCTTGGGTTGAAGCAAACATAGACCGCACATCATTTACTATTTGACGCAAAAATATAAATTTGAAATACTGTCCGTCCACATTATCTGTTACAAGATGCGAACAGTTTTCCGAGAGCGAAGCTCGAGAGAAACTGTGAGCTTCGAGGAACAGGTAATGTCCACGGGGCAAATAGACGAGCATGTTTTCGCGCAAAATAGAGGCTCCTGTGTTTATCATCCTTCAAATATTTTGCTTATGGTTAAAAGAAAATGTCAACGAACAACTCCCTTTTTATTAAGTGGGATGTTCACCTTTTAGTGTTCTCTCGTCTTAAATTGAACTTTAAACGAAGACCTATTTTAGTTGACGTAAGTTTGAAAACTGAGGAATACCACTTGGCTGATATCCTTGGATATCCCCCAGTTTTGGTTAGGAATAGTCGGTCACGTGATGCGTTTAGACCAATCGTGCGCTTTCAAGAATATTTTATGGATCCTAAACAGATTTATGACGTAGTTTGCGCCAAATTAGAGCGTGTGCATGTCTTTATTTAACCGCTGAGCGATGATACAAAACTACTCTATTACCTGCAGCATGCGATCTTATGAGATTCTCTTGAAGTTCCCTTAAAAAGATAGTGTTAAGTTCGTTATCAAAAAATATACGAAGTGTGAATAAAATGGTTTCAATCAGGTGGTCACAGGGAAAGCGAAGGAGACAAAACTTGCCTCTTTAATTAAAAAATCATACTGCTGGGAAGAAATTAATGTGATGTGACTCCATGGTAACGATCAGATGATACCTCATTTTGTAATATTTCGTTCAATCAGAAAGTAGCATCAAAAGCAAATCATACTCACTCAAGTTTGTCTTTAGGAATCACTACCCTTGCAAACATCCCGAAGCCTGTTGTTACGCCATATGCCACTAAATAAGGGGAAAATAAGTAGAATTAAGCAATTAAAACTAATTACAACCAACCGCTTTCTCAGAATTTAAGTTTCTCCCATCCTACAAACTCTACATAATCTAGTTCATAAAGACTCGGGTACAGCAAGGGTCTTTAAAAAGGCCAATACATTTAATGAACAAGTAAAAGAACGAGAAATAGGACAGCTGACTAAATAGTGAAAGAGAGATTTCGAATGCGACAGTTCCGACGAGCCAACAGAGGAACAAAGTTATGTATGATTCATAACTTCCAGACGAATGAACTAATCTCTCTAAAGACAGTGGTTACAAACAGTGAATGCCGCGTGAACGAAGGAACAACTGCAAGTGGGACTCCTTTTAATGGTACAATGAATCTACGCCAATTAAACCTCACAATAACGCGGTGTATGTGTGCATTTTTAATGACTGAACTCGAGACCAGATGACTTTTTTTTTTTACCTATCATAAATACCCGTCCCCGAGACCGAAGTGTATAGCTAGAAAGTTTCCAAATTAATCCTGCGCCATTACGCGCAAAACAAAAACCTTTGATCGAGCGATTTTCATTTATGTGTCGTAAAACCCCGACCAAAGTAATCGCAACGGTCAATCAGATGAAGGAGAATACCTTTAAGAGCCAATGGGAACTCAAAGTAAAGACAAACGAACTGCGTAAAGATGAAATAAACAATTTTTAAAACTCGAGTTTCCAGATGGGATTTGAACCCACGACCCTCCGTGATCTAGTCGGATGCTCTAACCACTGAGCTACAGGAGACTCTATGGTGAGCAAGGGTCAATTAGTGGGTATTGACTGGAACCGCATCACGCGGCTACACAGCCAAACATCAGCTAGCGCATAGAAGCTCACTAACAGCATCACGCTGTCACATTAAAGCATCACATGCATTAAAGCATGAAAAAAGTCGAACACCAACATAGCGCTAACTCGCCGAAAACGCTTCAAAATGGCCTGAGACGCTCGGAATCAACAAAGAAAACAACAAGGCAATAAGGTAAGTCCATTTTATTTCAAAACAAGACATTTTTTTTCTCTCTTTTAAGGCAAACCGATAACATCCCATACAAACCTTTATAAATGTAAAACGTTACGCAACACGGTAAGAGTCACGTCTGCTTTTCTAGGAGTGAGCTTGGGCTGCCTGTGACCTTGCTGTCAGAAATTTGATAATGCCACGCGACCACAAAAGCCAGATAGGGAGTCCGTACCGCTGTCTTTACCTTTAAAACTACACTTAAGGATAGTTCGATGATCGAACAACTCAACAAGCACTGTCAGATCGAAGGATAGCCAAATCTTACAGTGAGTTCAGGTTGATTGCTCGAGCGACATCACGTATCAATTTAGCGTTGACACGACGAAATTAATCCCAAGGCTGTCACGCCCCGCATGCGCTTGACCGTGGTCATTCGCGCCTTTAAAACAGCTAGCTACAAGACGCGTTGCTGAACAGATTACCTTTATTTTCTCGCACAATGTCGTCCAGTAATTCCCTTGATTTGTTCACCGTGTTTTCAGCTTCTTCCGAAAGCTGAAAGGGAACCAACCAACCAAAACTAGAAACAACATCAACAACAAAAGAAGAAAAAGCAAGAAACCAGAAAAAAAAAAAAAGAGAAGAGGAAATAAAAGCAAACACATAACCAACACACAACTTTATTTTTTGAATTTGGTCAGCATTGAAACAGCACTTAACAGCAAAAGACTAAATTTAATTTTTCCTTTGATAAGAGTTCTGCTAATCTAAAGTGGTAAAAAAAACCTTCTTGCGATGTAAGTGTAAGTAGCAGTTCTAAATAATAAGCGTGACTTCAGACAACAAACTATTTTTTTTCTTTTTTTTTTTATGAAATATTAATCTTAGGAATGCAGAGACTGCTGACGTGTACAGATAGAAGAATCTCAAAATCGTGCACGTCCATGTGCTTACTATGAAAGAGGTACTCTGGCTCGGAAAGGTCGTAAGGCGAAACCCAAACACGAGAACCCGTGCGGTATGGAGGTTATTCATACCTTTATTTTGAGCTTGCCACTTCCCAGTGCAACAAGAGTCTCAGTGGTCAACGAACAGCCATCAAGCTCCACAAACTGCAAGGTTAATATGAATAGAGTGACGGGAAAATATCCTCGGGCGATGTCACTTTGATCGGCACTAACAAACTAGTGATCGTTAAGCGTTTGGAAACCACTTTCATTTCGTTTTGTTTTTCTTTATTTTTGTTCATATTACTCCCTTGCAAGTTCAATAATATTATTTATTTTCTTTTGACTTTCATTTTTCCCCACCAAGTATACATTTGCTTTGATTAACTTAATTTTTATTAGTATTGGAAATAAGGGAAAAATGGATCGATTGAATCATACACTAAATGATTTGTCTAAAATATCATTAATATCATACAATAAATGATTTGTCTAAAATATAATATTAAACTACACATTTATTTTCAAAATACGATTTTTCTATTAAAGGTAGCTTTGGTTAGTGTTGATTTCACCTGTTCACGTTCGTACGCCTTCTCCAAATTTTCACTTCTTTGGAATGTGATCAAGTTAAGTTCCAACTCCTCTTTAAGCCATTACAAGTAATCTTGTATAGCTACATTTATGTCTCACCTCTAGCAATGAGGGCAAAATTTTATATTAAAAAGAAAAACAAACAAACAAACAAATACACTCCCTGTTTTTCAAAAAAAATTTGAGTCTACAAAAAACAAAAAGAAAAAAAAGGAATGATTATATCATTCATGAAAATGTAACCTCCTGATATGGTCCTGAATTCATACAAATAGGACTCTGATTACTCCAGAATCTTCCTCTCCACCCAAGGCTACCCCTAACCAGGCTTTGTCCCCCAGGGGAAATGACAAGATACTGATGTAAGTCAGACCCTGATCACTTCAGTTCCTCCTCTCCACCCAAGGCTACCCCTAACCAGGCTTTGTCCCCCAGGGGAGATGACAAGATACTGGTGTAAGTCGGACCCTGATCACTCCAGTTCCTCCTCTCCACCCTGGGCTCCCCCCATCCAGGCCTTGTTCCATGGGGGGGTATGGTAAGATGCTGGTGTGAAAAGGACCTTGATTCAGCAAGCCCCCCCTTGCCATCCAAGGCTCCTCCTATCCTGTCCCTCTCCACCCAGGAAAGATGAATTTATTGATGCCACAAAAGCAGCCCATAACAGGTTACCCCCTGTAATTTAACAGGTGAAATTTTCTTTTACACCTAGTTAAAATCTGGAATGAAGAAGGGCTTTGTTGGAGTGAAGTATCAAGGCTAAAGAAAATGACAAGCTGACCCAAATCAAAGCAAGGGACTCTTAGAACAGAGTTAGTGTAAATAAGGACCCTGTGTCCTTGGTAACATATACATGTAGAACTACATTTATTATTATATACTCAAACTGAAGTACAGGACACAAGTAAACAGGTAAACAAAAACCCATCTAACCCACTGACTTCTGGGAGTGACCAGTGTTTAATTTCTCCTTACAACATCACCCCTGAATCAAACATAAAGCTCATAAGAATAACAGAAATGGTCACCAATTTAAAGAAGCTCTTGAATGTTACACAGATTCCCCTTGTCCGAGCCCCTTAGGAAATTTATGGAGAACAATATAGAGAATGTGCATACTGATATTAGGGTAGAAAGGTTTTTAAAACTTTTATGGGTTTACATAAAGCAAGGATACAAAATAACAGATTCTGGTGCCATTCCATAGCCATTCTCTCTTGAAGCTCCAATATCTGCACAAAATATAAGTAAACATAACTTGAATTTGTGCAAATTGCTTTTGATATTGTAATGTCTGGAGTTATAGTTCACCACTAAATTTTCATATTGGTTTAAATCAATCACGTGACGCGATAGTGTTCATCCGTGGAGAGACACTATCAGCCCATAGTGCCCGCCCACGGAAAATACCCAGATGGATAGTGCCCATCCGTGGAAAATACCTGGATGGATAGTACTCATCCGTGAAAAGTTTTGAATAGTTTGACGGCTGCAAAGTTAGGCAGATCAGAAAAACAGTGACTTTTCAATTCTGACAGGTATAATGTATTATTTAGCCAATGTACGGTTGCGAGTTATTGACATTTGTGACAAGCTGTAGGTGCGGAAGAAAATTTAGTGGTGAACAATAAAAACAATAGAGTGTTTATGTCTCGGAACTATCGGTCTGATAGTTGCCCCTTGGAAATTTGATGTTCTTAAAACTAGCATATTTGCCCTCGAAACTTCGCTTCTTGGGCAAATATTTGTTTTAAGAACATCAAATTTCCATGGGGCAACTATCAGCCAATAGTTCCTCGACAGAAACACTCTACTGTTTAAATAGTTGTAGAGATCTATAGATCATTTTACTAGGTAATGACTCCGCTGATAGTCGCGTGACATGTCTTAAATTATTATGTGGGTATTCATCAACCATTATTTAACTAACAGAACTTTTTTCTGCCATAAGCAGGGTATAAATAATCCTCACATGAGAACCGGCCTGCAGGCTTAACAGAAGGCAGCGAGAGGACTTACAAGTAATTGTAGACTGCCTGTTAATAGCTCTTTTAAACCCATGCTGTAGACATTCTGTAAATATCAAACTACTTAAATTTGTTTGAGTATTTACAGTATCCGCTCAAAAGGGTTTTTAATACATAATCACATAAAAAGAAACCTCTCATTTATATGACTAGCATGTATTAACTAAGCAGAACATTACATAACTTTAACAATAGACTGAAACTAAATGTAGACAAACTACATCAGTTTCATAGCCAATAGTATTACGTCAAGTCATGTCAATCAAACTCAGTCTCAGGCTGCACTACTGACCACTTATTTCTCATATGACCCAATTGATAATAATTTGAAACCTTAGCCACAAAACAGACTTAAGTTACAAGAAAAAACTTCTCATTTGATCCCACTAAGGTTGCTGAAACCACTTCATTAAAACTCTTAATGGAACTCCCAATAAATTCCCAATGAATAAATAAACTCCCAATGAATTGTTACTGAAGGTGTCTAATAGATTTACTTAACAACAATGACATCAACAATTAAGGCAGTGCTACGAAATACTCTATCAGAAATAAATAAGCTCTTTTTCCAGACATAAAGAGCTTTAGTTGACAGCTTAATGAATGCTTCTTTCATTTGAAATGGGCTATAAATCCCTCGCCAGCCATACCTGTTGTTTTACCCAATTTAAAATTCGAGGAAACTTGCTAAATACCTGAAAATCTCGATCAAACGAAACGTTTGAAAAAGTACACCAGTTCGAAGCGAGCGCAATGTACATGGAAAACCCTTCTGTTATGTTCTGTGCTTTACACGAGAAGGATCAAACAATTTGATCAAAACACGTCTCATGTGACATACAAAAATTGCATCATGCCGGTATCAACTTATTTTAGAACCACTTACCGGAAATGTGAACAAAGTCGTTGTCGTTTAGAACTTCATAAATAGAATCGTTGGGATACAAACTTCCTCCACTCTGGGCTAAAACAGCTTCGAAATCTTTAGAATAGTTTTCTGAGTCGTTTGTGTTGTTCGCCCGACGAAGTGTCTCCTCAATAAGCCACTGAATTGAAGTTTTGCCTTCCCCACATGGAACAACAAACCATTTCCCGTTGAAACGAACTGACACTCTCATAATTTCTTGTTTTTTACTACTCTGTTCTTAGAAGAGGAGGTCGTAGGCTATGGCAAATGTATAAATTCGATTCGTGCGTGTTGTTTTTGAAGATGAGGTTGAGGTCAAAATGATATCACGGCACAACAGTAGAAATAGGTCAAATTCTTGTTTTTCCAGTTTTCTGATGCAATCATCATTAAAAAATTAACATCGATTGGGCGGATAGAGATGAAATTTCGCTCAAGTATGCGTTTCTAGAACACTTTTGTGACTTAAAAACACGTAAATCCCCACACAAGTTCGTTCCCACGCAACTAAAACTCTGAAACGGCGGGAATCTTCGATTACGTGCAGAAGCCAAAAATATCAACCAATCATTTAAGGACACACCTCGGACGTGCCTCCGAACACACCTCCACCAAGATCGCGCATATGATTAAAAGGACAGTTCGCTGACAACCGGTAGTTCTTGTTATGTTATGATCTCAAGCAACAATGGCGTCGTTGAAGGACTTATGCAGTGGTCTTGAAGTTGACCCGCTCCCTCCGCGGAGAGAACGTGACAATTCTGTTCCTCATGCGCCTGTTAGGACTGTAAATCTTACTGCAGATGAACGAAGGGTATGTTTTTCTTTTCTTATTGACATCAAGGATTAGATCTTGGGAAGATCTTAAAGCGCCAACGTGCTCTCTTCGAATAGTCTAAGTGCTTGTATTTGCATACATTTCGAGGATGTAACACTCAAGCTTTAATACGTATCGCCGTATTATTGTTTTACGGAGCTCATTTTGTTGACCGAAAATCAAATTTAGACCAATTTGCAGCTTAATTCTATCCATCGTTAAAATAAAAGATTTTCATTTATTTTACTTTAATCTACCGTTCACTCCACCATTGAATAAAATATCTTGTGACAAATTGTTATCATGATGCTATAATGATGTTAACTTCATGACAAATATCATTATTATACATTAGACTTACTATGAAATATCTTACTGGTCGAGAGCATTCAGTCCATATACAGTGACATGTGAAGTTGATATAACCCAATATCTGCTTCAGAAATAGCTTTTCATGTTGAGTTCAAAATCTGCCTAGTTTCTGAATCTGTTGTATGTATAGTGTTCAAACTTTTGCATGAATTGAAAGTTTGATCAAGAACAAAGATTCCTAAAACACCAAGAGGACAACAAAAAGCAAGCGTAAAAATTTCTGAATTTAAGATAACTCAGACCTTCATTTTGATAATTCACTATACCATGCTCAACTTCATCTAATAATTGCTTATTGTAAAGCTGTTATTGTAAATATATCACGAATGGTAATTATTGTAAGCTACAACAGGTGTTGAAAAGTTGATAAAGGATAAGCATACAGTGTTGACGAAAAGAACTGAGAATTATGCCTGAAAGTAAAATTGCTTTTTTTAGCTAAGAAAACCAAAATAGGCTAATTTGATGCAGATACCTTCATTTATTGAGCCATAGTACGCTGAAGAATTGCATTAAATTTACCCTTGAAAATAGCTTAAAATATCGATCCCCAAACTGAGGAACACCTTGCAACCACACCCGTGAGCTTGACAATTTGGATAATTGGCAATCTTAGTCTCATGTTTTAGCCCAAAATTGTTAGCCTTGAAAAAATGTATTTATTGTTTAGAAATGAAGGTATACGTTGTTGTCAATTACTTTAATTACCATGCAACACTCAAACTTTACATTTTTAGCATTATACTTTTTATTAAAGCAGTTAAAGTACTCCTTTTTAAAATTCACCAGTTCACAACAGCAATATTATTTTGATAAGGTAAAACTCTTTGAAAAGTAATGTTGCATTAACACCCAAATCCTATGGTTTCATGAATAATAGAGGTTCAGTAGCCAGGGCAATAAGCACACTGAACTCCAAGGAGTTGAAGTTTTTTTTTTAACTTTAACCTTAGAGTTCCTCTCTTTGCTCAGGTGTATAAATGACCAAATGCTGAGGGGAGTGGCTAATCTGCAATAGACTGGGGAGAGTGATGACACTCCTGGTTGCATCATGCTGTTAAAACAATATTTATTGTGATCTCCATGTAGTCAGGGCTTAGAAAATTGAAGGATTTGAAAGGGAATCAAGTGGAGAGACCATAGCAAACCTAACAAGTAAAGAGCTTAAAGTTCTTTTGGTCAGAGATGGTAGGGTTTGATTTAAAACCAGACAAAATGGAAGAGACAAAATATAACAAAACACAAAACAAAAGCTAACTGAAAACATCAAATACGAGTACAGAACAAAACCGAAAACCAAAACCAGTTAAAACAAAAGTAAAGAGCACCGATGTTCTTTACAATGTTCTTTATTTCAAGAGGGTAAATACATGATTACCCCAGTAAAGAGTTTTCTAACACAAAATTTTCAAATCAGGTGATTTGAAAATTGGTGGGACTGGGTTAAATATGAATCTTGTATTACATAAGTGTTGAGTTTGACAGTTTTTTCTTTCATCTACAGTTAGCATTGCAGAATGCATTGAGATATTTTCCACCTACATGCCACCACATTCTTGCACCAGAATTTGCTGCAGAGCTAAGACAGTATGGACACATTTACATGTATCGCTTTAGACCTGACATTGAAATGAGGTGAGTATATTTAACAATTATTCCACGAACGCGCGTTGGATATGAGATGATAGATAGCCAAATTGCTCTATTGCCAGTCCAATATTCTCTAAGTATTGGACCGGGCACTGTCCCGAATGGTCCCGAATCATGATACCGCAGTTGTGCCCCTTTCAACCTCAGTCGTATAATAAATCTCTTATTAACCAAGCTTGCTCGGGACCGTACTGGAAGAATATCGGCCCTCGGTGTTTTTTGTACAGACCTCGCTGCACTCGGTCCGCACTGTCAAGACCTCGTGCCGATATTCTCCCAGTACGGCCCTCGCGCTTGGTTAATAAGATACATTTAATCAGAGGAAGTATGTCTGTAACTGGAATCATCATCCAAGTACTTTAGATGAGAAGTTTAATGTGAATTTCACTCACTCTGATCACCTAGCAGTATTGGTTGAAAACTTCACTTGGTTGGCAACCATGCATTACAAAAATATGAAAAAAATGAACAGAAAAAAAATTGTAGAAAAAAGGAAATTAACCAAAAACCATGTGACAGTTTCAGGAAGTTGGTTCAGTCACAAATTGCCAATGAGGATCTTAAGTGCAAACCCAAGGCAAACTTTTCATATTTCGGCTTCTAAAACTATTGAAACTTGAGAAAACACCATATGAATAGAATCATCATGATCATACATTTTTTATACATTTATTTACCTTTCACTTGTGTTTGAAATTTTCCTGCAAAACAAACATGAAAGTCATATGGAGACTGTTCCTGGATTTTACCATGATTACAAGTGTCTGAATACAAAATCAAACATATTTCTAAATTGAAAAAGTTACTTTTTGGAAGTTATTGACAGTTAATTATAAAATTTTATTTTTGAGTATAGATCATGCTTTATTGTTATTCAGGGCTTATCCTATTGATGAGTATCCAGCAAGGACCAGACAAGCTGCTGCTATTATGTTGATGATAATGAACAATCTAGACCCTAGGGTAGCCCAAGTGAGTTCATTTATTACATTCAAAATGGTGCTGCTGGTCCAGAATGGCAGTCCTGTCATGAAGGCAATGGACTGTACATTGATAATTCTGAGTTCAAGCTCTAGCAAGCAATCTCCATAAGAAAGATATATCTCTTTCACAAAGTGCCTCTTGCTATGAAGGATTAGAAGGCTTCTACACAAATAAATATGGTATTAGTGTCAAAGAGATGGTGAAGAGGGAGGTTGTGAAACTCTGATTCACTTTGTGCTGTAGAAACTGAGACAAGCTTAAGGTGGCATCTATTTAAGAAAGATAAGTGGGCAGACCTTTGCCGTAAAATGATTTTGTCATGGCATTTTCTTCTTTTTAGTTCCCTCATGAGCTTGTGACATATGGAGGGAATGGTCAGGTCTTTTCAAATTGGGCTCAGGTAAACAGACTTAATCAGAGGTTTTTTACTAAAGTCAAATCTTTCCTGTTTAATAAAAATGAATGAATTTTGTACTTGATGGTAAACTGAAACTTAATGTCGTTTGTTTAGTTCAGGATTGTGATGCATTACCTGTCAGAGATGACAGAAGAGCAGACACTTGTCATGTGTTCAGGGCACCCACAGGGACTGTTTCCCAGCAGTCCATCAGCTCCAAGGGCTGTTGTCACTAATGGCATGGTAACTAAGACAGATTATATTGTAATAATATGATTATGATCTTTTAGTAGAGGGTGTTGTGATTGAGTTTTCTCTAGCCAAACCCAGTTGATATGCCCTGACATGTCAATGATACCTTAAGTTTCTATAATAAAGAAATGGATAGATATTCTAGTCTTCTTGGATAAGGATGAATAAACTGTAGGCCCTGTCTTCTGCAGGGTTAGGGGTAGGAGACGTTAATTTTCCACGCACGAGATTACTGTGTGGTGGATGTCCTCCCCTGGGTGGGATGGGTGGGTGTTGGCCCTGAAAAGCCCCTATGGGGAGTGGTCAATTAAGCTATGTATGTATGTACTGTAATGATTTATTTTCTTACATGGTTTGATGCTACTCTGGTATAAAGATTTAATCAATGTTACCAGGGAAATTACAATTCATCAGCACAATGTTTCAAGACTCCCGTCAAGTGCTTTCATTAAAGGTTGTTCTGATCATTCCAAAAAGAGGCCCTTTTATCTGCTTACTAACTAGTGGCCCTTTTTTCTGAGGAGCTGTGAATAGGCATCAGATAGTAACCCTCCATCATCATAAATTTATTTATTTATTTTCTTGTTTGTTTAATGAACCCAGGTCATTCCCAACTACTCTTCAAGAGACATGTATGATAAACTGTTTGCCCTGGGAGTGACTTTGTATGGTCAAATGACAGCTGGAAGTTACTGCTACATTGGACCTCAGGGTATTGTTCATGGAACAACAGTAAGCAATATGTAAATCACTGAATTCTAACTTTAAGCAACTTGCTAAATTGTACAAGTGGTACAAGCTTGTTCGGTCAAGATGAATGTTTTTTGTGTGTTTTTTTATGGACTGAGAAGAAGTCGATCAAAAGTCGAGGTCCATAAAAACAAAAAAAGAAAAGAATGAGGCCAATATCTAGTCATCTTGACCGAACAAGCTTGGTCAATAAAGCATTTATTATTTGACAAAAAAATTTTGCTCTAATAAGAATCAAAAATGACTTGTTCATTCCGAGAGCCCGAAAAGAAAGCTAACTGTGTTTGTAACACAATAACCCTCGAGAGTCGTTTATATTTTCATTGTTTTGACAGTAAGGTACCCATTGTTGCAATTTGTTTTGTATGGTTGCACAACCTTCTTAGGGGGAAAGGTGGTTTCGTATGTGGCACAATGCGGTTCATTCATAAACTTTCATTATTGGTACGTTTGATCCCAGATCGTTGTGTTGAACGCTGGAAGACGACATTTGGGAGTCAATGATCTTCAGGGAAAGGTAAGGAATTCTCTGAATAGTATAATTACACTACTTCATATATATTTACTTTTTATTAATTTTTACATGACTTTGAGAAGCAATAGCCACTATTATAATAATGATTTTCATTTATAATGATAGCTTTCGTGTATGTTTATCTATTTTCCTATGCTCTGTTCATTAGGTTTTTGTCACTGCCGGTCTTGGTGGAATGAGTGGAGCCCAGGCCAAAGCTGCTGTTATTGCTGGCTGTATTGGTGTTGTAGCAGAGGTATGATATTACCGTAACACAACATTGTAATACGCTTTTCTAACTTGGTCAATTGTCGCTTCTTCGTCTATTCATCTGTCCTCTAATCCAGTGGTCCTTCTCGACGCCTTTTAGATCGTCATTCTGTTTCCATCTTTCTTCCGTTCATTCCTTGGTACCTCACTTCGGTTTTGGGTTCGGTGTTTTGCTATCCGTGTTCCTTAAGGAGACTGACGTCTTTTACCTCCAACCACGAGTCTTTGTTGGCGGCCCTAAATCACTTCTTTCAACTCTTTCTTCAGGTTGATGAAGCTGCGTTAAAGAAAAGACACGAGCAAGGGTAAGGTGCTCTACGGAATTTTACTGTTCCAGGCTGTTCATAATCCTCATTATCCTCGTCATTCATAATCCTCATTAGCGGACCTGCGTTCGAAAGATTCCGAGTCAAAGTGCTCAAACGGTGACATGTGCACTTAAAGTATCACACTCCACTCCGCAGGCAACTTTTGATTCTTTTGTCTGCTCAGGTGGCTCATGCAATACTCGTCCGATGTTGACCAATGTGTGGACATGATCAGGTATGCGCTCCGCAAGGCACTTGAAAAATACAAACATAATACACTTTTTAGATAATTAAGGGGTTATATATTTCATTCTTCTTTACCCTTTTACGTTTTATGTTTCAGAAAAGCGCGAGAGTTGAAGAAGCCTTCCAGCTTGGGATATCATGGCAATGTTGTGGACTTATGGTACATATTCATGTCCTTCTTAAATTACTTGGTTCGTCATGTTTTTTGAAACAATATTTTCAATTTTCAGAGTCCTTTTTAGTTAGGCACGTGAGTCAGAAATAAAACCCTTCTCTCTTCAGATTTCCCTCTTTTAATCGTTTTATATGTTTTCCGAGCTTCTCAAAAGGATTTATGGTGTGCTTCTTGAAAGAACTTGATTAAATGACGGCTCAAATTCAAATAATCTTAGCAAACTATTTGACCTGCGGGAAAAAGCGAGTGAGAAATCCGCGAATGGTTTTAATTTCGTATTTGATTACTTGAGAGAATACCGCGACTCCTGCCTGAGCAAAACCAGTGCAATTCCCTATTGCTTTTGAAGCCCATGAAAATCATCTTTAAGTATTTATTTGTTGCTTGCTTAAAGGGAGCGTCTTGTACAAGAATATAAAAAGACTGGCGACCTTCTTGTGGAGCTGGGGTCTGATCAAACATCACTTCATAATCCGTTTAACGGAGGTTATTACCCTGTTCAGGTTAGTATCAGCTCGAGGGCAAATCTGTCTCTCCAGATCTCGTCTCGTCTTTTATAATTTAATTTTTCTATTCTATTTTTTTTTTGTTGACGAAGAGTACCAGGTCAATGACGCATTTGGTAAATTCAGTTAAGCTTCTTTTAAACGTTGGTTTGGTATATATATCTAGGTAACCTTTGAGGAAGGTAAAAGAATTATGAAACGTGAACCAGAAAGATTTAAAGCTCTCGTCCAAGAAAGGTGAGGGAATAATCTTCTTTCTGCTTCAACCTGTTTAGATTTTCGCCGTTCCAGCGCCAAATGTTGACGTCATGAAGTAAACGGAATTCACATATTTTGTTTCTACGTTGGATTTTGTTTTGTTTTGTGTTTGGTTTTGTTGTTTTTTTCGATTCTTTCTTTGTTTATTTTAGCGATCTATTTTACAGTTACGTTCTAGGTATTACTTGTTTGATATATGTATTTTT